TGCTGCACAGACACTGCTTCAACACTGCTGCCCAGACACCTGCTTCACACACTGCTGCACGCAGACACTTGCTTCACCACTGCTGCAACCAGACACTGCTTAAACCCTGCTGCACCAGACACTGCTTCACCACTGCTGCACCAGACACTGCTTCATCACTGCTGCACCAGACACTGCTGCACCAGACACTGCTTCACCACTGCTGCACCAGACACTGCTTCACTACTACACGGCTTCCCAGTCACTCATCCTCTCTAAAACTACAGACAAGAACTTTTGACCTGAGGCTCGTGTTTAGTACCCCGTGCACACTGCATCTACCGTTCCTCCTGCCTAACTTTCTAGTTTCTTTCGCAGTCAGTTCCCAGTGGTGACTCCCACCTCCCACTGTGAACAGGTTATGTGCTATATATATATAACTTTAAGCTTTATTAACCTGCAAAATACTTCTTTGTGAAGGATGCGCACTGACGTACCATGGGACTTAAACATTATTATAGGTGGGTAGAGGCAGGTATAAAATACGGAAGCAGTGTAAGTAAACTACTCACAAGTAATACAAAAAAAAAAAAATTTGTGGATGATGTATAGTTCGGACACCAAACCTTATCATATCTTATATACAACACTTGGTAAGGCATGAAATATATAAATCAGTAGTGTAGATAACCGGAGTGAGGGCGGTGACCCTTGAATCCAGGTCATGCAGATGACCGAGCAGAAGGTGGACGAGGTCACACCATTCACTGTGTTGGCTGTGACAATGTTCAAATTCAAATTCAAATTCAAAGTTTATTCTCTATAAGGATTACAATGCTGAGTTTACAGAAATTTGGTTATTGTTTGGTTTACATGTAGTAAAATTGTGATTACAGAGTGTACCACTAGAACGCTTAGCATGGCTAGGCATTTCGGGTGAGACAGACAGGGACTTGAATGAATGGAGAGTAGAAACACGTCTGTTTGACGACACAGTGAATTAAATTGTCGCCATCTTAACACACGTCTTAAACCTATTTATTTCAGAAGAAAATAAATACTAGCAGTTGTGTTCGGGATCAGCCCTAATAGATACCACCTTGTACTTGACCAACTCTGCGACCTGAAAACCTGCGCACCTGACACATACATGAGTCTCCAAGTAATGTCTATAAATTTGTTAAAAGGATACACGTGTCGGTAATACTACCAGCATTATTACAAATCTATAAATTTGATGAACACTGGAATCCAATGGAGATTTCATCTATTAATAAAGATTTAATGTTTTGTGTTTTATTCAGATGTTTGTTGTAGCTACTGATAACGTCTCTTACTGGTATTGAAAGCTATTTATATTTTAATATAATTTTGCTAATACTATAAACTCTTGTTATTTACTCCTCATAATAGATGTAGTAGTTATTTACGTCGTCCAGCACATGATAATAAAGAGCACAATGTCAGTTACCTCACAAAGTAAGAGATGTGCTTACAGTCAGTTGATACCCACAGGTAATCAAGGGTTAGGCAGTTCTGGGCACTTGCCAAGGCTAAGGTACAGAGCTCCGGGCTATTTGGTAGAGGTAGTCGTATTTATTGTCGCCGTTTTCCCACTACACCTTTACATTTCAAGACATGCGTCTTGCCCTTGTCCACGCCACTTTCTGTGTGGATGTTTGCACCTAGGTTGTAAGCGCACCTACGCCTAGAGGAAGCTAAAACACAGAGACAAACAACTATGAGAGCCCTCAGGAGGTCCGGGTAATCCCCACCCAGCCAGTCCTGACACAAGGCCAGCTGTTGAAAAAAAAGAAATATCACAGTAGACGATTTTGACGTTAGCACTTGGTACCTCACATCACCGTAGCTTCACGGTCAAATATCCCAGCCTTCCTTGACACCCATGTGCGCTTATAGTTCCCCCTTTACATTATTAGTAGTAGTAGTAGTAGCAGAGGTAGTAGTAGTAGTAGCAGTAGTATGTGAGGAAGCACCTGGGGAATGGGAGGTAATTAAGTTTGACTTGAGGAAAGGCCAGGCAGCTCCAGTTCCTCGAATTAAAAGAGCTTCATATGAATTAAATAGCACCTATCATTACACTCATTAAAACCAGCAACCACCATCACACACAAACCTCCAGCAACAACCTTCACACATAAACCACTAGCAATAGCAACCATCACACATAAACTACTAACAACCATCATCACATATAAACCTCTAACAACCATCACACATAAACCACTAACAACCATCACACATAAACCACTAACAACCATCACACAACTACTAGCAACCATCATCACACATAAACCACTAGCAACCATCATCACACATAAACCACTAACAACCATCATCACACATGAACCTCTAATAACCACCATGACACATAAACCTCTAACAACCACCCTCACATATAAACCACTAACAACCACCATCACACATAAACCACTAACAACCGCAACACATAAACCACTAACAACCACCACACAAACCACTAACACCCATCACACATAAACTACTAACTGCAACCATTACGCATAAACCGCGAACTACTATCACACATAAACCACTAACAACCATCACATATAAACCACTAACAACCAACATGACACATAAACCACTAGCCATCACACACAAACCACTAACAACCACTGTCAAACATAAACCACTAACAACCATCACACATAAGCCACTAACAACCACCAAACATAAACTACTAACAATCATTACACATAAACCACTAACAGCCATTACACATAAACCACTGACAGCCATCATCACACATAACCCATTAACAACCACCATCACACATAAACCATTAACAACCAGCATCACACATAAACCACTAACAGCCATCATCACACATAAACCACTAACCACCACACATAAACCACTAACAACCACTATCACAAATAAACAACTAACAACCATCACACATAAACCACTAACAACCATCACACATAAGCCGCTAACCATCACACACAAACCACTAACAACCACTGTCAAACATAAACCACTAACAAACACTATCAAACATAAACCACTAACCATCACACATAAGCCACTAACAACCAACACGCATAAACCACTAACAACCATCACACATAAACCACTAACAACCATCATCACACATAAACCATTAACAACAATCATCACACCTAAACCACTAACAACCATCACACATAAACCACTAACAACCATCATCACACATGAATCATTAACAACAACCATCACACATAAACCACTAACAACCACCGTCACACATAAACCACTAACAACCATTACACATAAACCACAAACAACCATCACACATAAAACACCGCCACACATAAGCCACTAACAACCATCATCACACATAAACCACTAACAACCATTACACATAAACCACCAACAATCACCAACATACATAAACCACTAACAACCATTACACATAAACCACTAACAACCACCATCATACATAAACCACTAACAACCATTACACATAAACCACTACAACCATTACACATAAACCACTAACAACCATCACACAAACCATTAACAACCATCACACATGAACCACTAACAACCATCACACATAAACCACTAACAGCCATCACACATGAACCATTAACAACCATCACACATAAACCACTAACAACCATCACACACAAACCACTAACAAACATCACACATAAACCACTAACTGCAACCATTACACATAAACAGCTAACAATAACCACCACACATAAACTACTAGCAACCATCACACATAAGCCACCAACAACCATCACACATTAACCACTAACTATAACCATCACACACAAACCACTAACACCCATCACACATAAACCACTAACTGCAACCATTACACGTAAACAGCTAACAATAACCACCACACATAAACCACTAACAACCATCACACAAACCACTAACAACCATCACACATAAACCACTAACAACCATCACACACAAACCACTAACACCCATCAGACATAAACCACTAACTGCAACCATCACACATAAACCACTAACAACCATTACACATAAACCACTAACAACCATCACATAAACCACTAACAACCATCACATAAACCACTAACTGCAACCATCACACATAAACCACTAACAACCATTACACATAAACCACTAACAACCATCACATAAACCACTAACAACCATCACATAAACCACTAACTGCAACCATCACACATAAACCACTAACAACCATTACACATAAATCACTAACAACGATCACACATAAACCACTAACTGTAACCATTACACAAAAAGCTAACAACAACCACCACACATAAACTACTAGCAACCATCACACATAAACCACTAACAACCATTACACATAAACCACTAACAACCATCACATAAACCACTAACAACCATCACATAAACCACTAACTGCAACCATCACACATAAACCACTAACAACCATTACACATAAACCACTAACTGCAACCATCACACATAAACCACTAACTGTAACCATTACACAAAAAGCTAACAACAACCACCACACATAAACTACTAGCAACCATCACACATAAACCACCAACAACCTTCCCACATAAACCACCAACAACCATCACACATAAACCACTAACTACAGTCATTACACATTAAAAACTAACAATAAGTACCACACAAACCACTATCACATAAACCACTAGCAACCATCACACATAAACCTTAACAACCATCCCACATAAACCACTGAAAATAGCCACAACACATAAACCACTCTCATATAAACCACTAGCAACCACTACCACACATAAAACCACTAATAACAACCACCACACATAAACCACTAACAACCACCACACATAAAACCACTAATAACAACCACCACACATAAACCACTAACAACCACCACACATAAACATCTAACAACCACTATGCATAAACGACTATCACATAAACCACAAACAACCACCATCACACATAAACCACTATACATAAATCACTAACAACCAGCATTACACGTAAGCTTACAGTGTTAACTAACAATCACAGTAACGTACTAACAAGACAGAAGAGCGGCCTCAGTGTACTCACCTCGCCTCGTCCTGCTAACAACTAAACTGGAATCATCTAATCCAGTCTTTATATAAGGCACAAGAAGTGACCCTGAGACTGCCAAAAACTGGTTTTCTCCCTCACGGCAGCATAATAAGGGAAGAATAACGAACATTTTAATATTTTCCAAAGCAAAAATGCGAAGAGAATAGTGTTGTAGCAGAGACGTTGATGTTCCCCTGAGTAAGAAGGTTCAAGGTGGCTTAAGTCATCATCTTTATTCAGTGGATACGTGAAGAAGTTGTGAGTCAGACTCAGGAAATTCCAGACTTTAGTCGTCTCCAGCAGGAACCACAACGTAGCACTATCAGAACTAACCACAGGGTTAAATATTACGTATGAGATGTTACATTGTGAAGCAGGATGGGATAACATTGTATAATGCAAACAATAGGAGGGATAACATTGTACAATGCAAACAATACGAGGAATAACAATGATGCAAACAATACAAGGGATAACATTGTATGATGCAAACAATGAGGGATAACATTGTATAATGCAAACAATACGAGGGATAACATTGTATGTTGCAAACAATACGAGGGATAACATTGTATAATGCAAACAATATGAGGAATAACATTGTATAAGGCAAACAATACGAGGGATAGCATTGTATAATGCAAACAATATGAGGGATAACATAGTATAATGCAAACAATAGGAGGGATAACATTGTATGTTGCAAACAATACGAGGGACAACACTGTGATGCAAACAATATAAGGAATAACATTCATGCAAATAATGCGAGGGACAACATTGTATGATGCAAACAATATGAGGAATAACATTGTATGATGCAAACAATATGAGGAATAACATTGTATAATGCAAACAATATGAGGAATAACATTGTATGATGCAAACAATACGAGGGATAACACTGTATGATGCAAACAATACGAGGGACAACACTATGATGCAAACAATACGAAGGACAACACTGTATGATGCAAATACGAGGGATAACACTGTATGATGCAAACAATACTAGGGACAACACTGTATGATGCAAACAATACTAGGGATAACACTGTATGATGCAAACAATACGAGGGACAACACTGTATGATGCAAACAATACGAGGGATAACACTGTATGATGCAAACAATACGAGGGGCAACACTGTATGATGCAAGCAATCCGAGGGACAACGCTGTATGATGCAAACAATATGAGGGATAAAACTGTATGATGCAAACAATACGAGGGAAAACACTGTATGATGCAAACAATACTAGGGATAATACTGCATGATGCAAACAATACGAGGGGCAACACTGTATGATGCAAACAATACAAGGGACATCGCTGATGCAAACAATACGAGAGATGACACTGTGTGATACAAACAATACGAGGGACAACATTGTATGATGCAAACAATACGAGGGACAACACTGTATGATGCAAACAATACGAGGGATAACACTGTATGATGCAAAAAATACAAGGGATACCACTGTATGATAAAACTCTATGATGCAAACAATACGAGGGACAACACTGTATGATGCAAACAATACTAGGGATAATACTGTATGATGCAAACAATACGAGGGGCAACACTGTATGATGCAAACAATACAAGGGACATCACTGATGTAAACAATACGAGAGATAACACTGTATGATGCAAACAATACGAGGGACAACACTGTATGATGCAAACAATACGAGGGATAACACTATGATGCAAACAATACAAGGGAAAACACTGTATGATGCAAACAATACTAGGGATAATACTGTATGATGCAAACAATACGAGGGACAACACTGTATGATGCAGACAATACAAGGGACATCACTGATGTAAACAATACGAGAGATAACACTATGATGCAAACAATACGAGGGACAACATTGTATGATGCAAACAATACGAGGGACAACACTGTATGATGCAAACAGTACGAGAGATAACACTGTATGATGCAAACAATACAAGGGATAACACTGTATGATGCAAACAATACAAGGGACAACACTGTATGATCCAAACAATACGAGGGACAACACTGTATGATCCAAACAATTCAAGGGACAACACTGTATGATGCAAACAATACGAGGGACAACACTGTGATGCAAACAATACAAGGGATAACGCTGTATGATGCTGTATAATCAGTATGTATTATAAGTATAATACATAATAAATTCGTTACAAGAATGAGTGGACAAGTGAAATTACATTCTTCTCCCATACAGCGCTAAATGATCCGTGAGGGTTTAGCTTTCCTGGCTACTATAATAGCGCTAATAAAAACGAACATTTGCATAATAATGGGAATAAAAAAAATCCGATGGAGTCCCGTTATTAACGTAAATAATCAGTATTTCCGTTGTAGAACATATGACCTGGTTAAGTGATGACGCTCCACGACCAGCACGGGTCAGCCAGAGGTCGCACACCTCAGTAGGTAGCCCATGGTACTCAATAGCTAAAGTTATAGTGATCAGTGGGTAACCATTGTCCTCGGTAGCTAAAGTCATAGTACTGAATGGGTAGCCATGGTACTCATAGCTAAGGTCACTAGCTAAAATCATTAGTACTCAATGGGTAGTTCTCAGTAGCTAAAGTCATTTGTACTCAGTTTTTTTTTTTATTTTATTTAAAACATGACATTACAAAAATATAATATATAAAACTCATTTAAGGCTATAAATTAACACAATCCTACCTACAGCTAACATTACACACCACACTTACAACTCCGTGTGGGTACACCCCCCTCCCTGCTCCCTCATCCTATCACTTAATCCAAACCTGTTGGAGCTACCCAACAGAATTACATGATATGAACAACACTTTTATATACACATCCCTCGAAATGGTACTTAATAATCGACTACAGACCATGCAATTCATTGCACTGAACATATTATACAGACATATTACCCCCCCCCCTCCCGTGGTTATCCAACCACCCCACTATTTACAACCTAACATACTATAAACAATGAATGTTGCCTAATCTAATGTCACACAGCAATGATCAAAACATTAATTTATGTAATTGTCCTAATGGTTCAGTTATATAACAATATGTATTACACAACAATGGTGATATAGGAAAGTCACAAAGACATACAAAATGGCTACAAAGCCATAGGTATAAACTTAGTCTCAAAAATCCAACACATGTAAGCTTCTACACATTTAAACATGCAATTCCAGTGTTAAAAACAATAACACAGCTTCAACTATGACATTCAAGCTCTATACAGCTTATATGGACATAACATAGTGCTATTGACAACAGTACAACATAAAATATAACCATGACATAAGTAACACATAAATACTGTGCCTAGCACGCACCTAACCACAAAAACCTATAACACCACTGTTGCCCAACTTTATTTACACTATCTGACGTACATTAAACTCTTTACTCTCAAAACAAAACTGAAAATTGCAGGTCACCAGTGACGAACAATAATACACAGACATTAATACAAACATATCACAGCATATCTCTGGACACCGTGCATGATCACAGCGTCAACACTGTGCAGTGCAAGGCACTAGAAAACAAGTTGGAGCAAATACATGCAATTATTATAGCAAATCTCCAAATTACAAAGTCTTTACCGTAAATCAATATTACCACACACAATATGTATAATAAGTGCATAGTCCATGTCACACAAAAAACTGGCCAGCTCCACAGGTGCTAGCACCCGTGGTCCACATATTTTTTTTTTTTTTTTTTATATTTTATTTAAAAAACACAATACATATTTATATGTATGCTATGCATACGTTACATAAACTAAGACATGTTATCCATTAAAAATGAAACAACAATTCCACGTTCTACACGAAGGCAACCCACACCCGAACATACAGGTGGGTTTAATAAATTCATAAATACTACCTATATAATCCAAAGAATATCACACGTATTTACAAGGACGTATAAGTGATTAATAATAAGAACTATACTGGATATTAACAAAAATTCCTCTACCACACAATCCCAGTACTTAATAACACGTTACCCGTAGGTGTATTACCACCATTTACACATCCAACATGACCTACCAAACCCCCTTTTAACAATAATTAATAATGCCAGTGCATACAAAAAATATTTGCATGCACCGTTTTGAGAAAAAAACCTTAAGTAACCTAACAATCACGGTATGGCCTTACCTCATTAAACCTTAATGAGAATTACAGAATTTGGTTATGCATAAACAACAACAAAAATATAAAAGTACATAGCAACACAGATATGTACATTATGTTACTATACACACACACTCGTATAATTGGAAGAATATACACCCACAATATCTAATATCAATAATAATAAAACAACAACCAAGAAATTCAAACTGTCAGAACATCATTGTATGACATGGATTTTACACATAAAATTAAAGAATACACTTCATGTTACCTCAACTTTAAACAACCTATGTAAATATTTAATATAAACCAAGACTAGAATTATCATTGAAACATATCTAATGGGTTCTCCCCTCACAAGGACGGGGCAAATAATAAAAAGAAACCCCTTCATGAAATACCAAACAGGTACACCCCTACCACTAACTCCTAGCTTAAGATCAAACTTGTTAATGACTGAAACACAATTAAACAAAGGTATTACAATCCTTCTTCTATAAAGAAGTACCGTTATAAAGGAAATACTTGTATACTAATTATATCTAAAGAAAAGGGCAATATGGAAAGTACTTGCAGCTACATGTTAAAACTACAAAATAAGCATCATTCTAACGTACTTGACTACAGTGTTTCCTTGCTTTATTTTATATTTTAAAACCCTTCTCAATGTTAATAAAAAGAATTACTACTATTCACTGGCAATATCATTTTTGCACGTGTTCAGTACTACTTGACCTAAAAAGCCATAACAGCCACCTCTCCTCGATAGTGAGTGCAATAATATATCCAACCAAAATATGTAATGCAAGGCATTCCATGTATGACTATGTATCCAAGGTACTGA